AACAAACAACTATGAGTTCCATAAAGATGCATGCTGAGAGGGTGCCATTACATCATTGGTTTTCTTATTCGCATACATTGCAAAATCAAACCGTTCTAATCCAGAATGATCTCTCTTTTTAGTCCCTAACTTCATATTGTTTGTCAACTTTCCAACCAAAACTATATTACAACCCTTTTTATACCAGTATTCTCTTGTAGCTCCTTCCAAACTGCTGAAAAAAGGGCTGGTTCTTAGTCTTGTTGCCGTTAAAAATGACTTGTCAACACTTTACTTCACAAATTCTCATTGCTGTTTGAGAAAATGTTTAATAAAGCTAAATAATAAACTGGTTCCATATGTTGATTAGTGATGTCCTTAGTTTCATGAAAGAATACACATTCACACAATGTTTGCAAAACTTTATTATGGTCAAGAATTGTTAAGTAAGGGAGACCTGTGCTGTGTACAATGCAGATCCAGCAGGCAAACTCAATTATCAATCAATTATTTTTCCTGTTGACCAAAAGGGGAAATTTCTTTCCTAGGGTTGCAAAAAACTTCTAAGGTGTGATCTTCTAAACAGTTCAAAACACAACAAACATGTACACACACATCCAAAACCATAACCAGAATAAAGGCATTTTTAAAAAGGGTGGGGTGGTTCTATATAATTCAGCAATTACAAGATGTTTTTATGCTCTGAAGTTAAAGAGAATGCTGGCTCTGCTCCCACAAAAAGCAATTACTCATCCAATGCTCTATCGTACTCAGGGTGATTCCAGGCTGTCGCTACTGTTGGGTAGGATTCAGTTGTATACTCTCAAATTCAGGTTGCACAATGAAAGCTGATTGTGCAACCAACCCACTTTTTTGCAATAAGGAAAGTGATGGGGAAATGCACTGGAAAGTGTGGGGTGGCATCTGCTTGATACAATGTCGTCTAACTTCCTCACAAACAAATAAGGATGAATGCTCAATAAACAGATTGCCTGGAAGCTGCCTTATTCATGACAGCTGGGATTTTTGAGTGTCTTCTAAGAAATGCTTAGAGCCCTAGGGTGCTGTTGTGGTTTACAACACATGTTTCAAAGTCATATACAATATTCAATTAAACAGTGGCCTGAATCTCCAGGCCTTTAACATGATCCACAGAAGAACAATACAACCCACCCATCCTGTCTCTTTCCTTATTCATAAAAGGCTTTTACTAGCCCCAATGGCTGTGGATGGTGCCAACAGCACTCCCTGGGTGACTTGGCGGCCTGCCTTGAAACTTAGGGTGTGGCAACCTCCAAATTGTTCACCAACTGGAATACCTTTCTTATTCTCAATGCTAGAAAAGCAAATGGTTGGAGCTGAGTAGTTCAAAGTCACACCAAGCTACAGTTTCCAGGATTGTTTGGGAAAACCATGATCATAACAGTGAATGTAAGAACCCAAGAAGCACCAGGATACCAACATGATTTTATGGGGCTAGTGCACTGTATGTGGATAGGGTCTTCCTCTTGCAAAAGAGGACAGATTTGCATATACTTTGCACCAGAAGCAAATCTGTGGATCCCCAAGTTGCTCTTGTTGCAGCTCCGATTGATGTACCCAGTGCCAGAATCAGGGATGTGTTGTGGGGTCAGTTTCAGCTTATGCAGTCAGCTGTTGTGGACAAAATTGCTGTGGGACAGGGGGACACAGTATTTTCCTGCTTTGTAGGCACGGGACAAGTGGAAGTGTGGATGAGCCCTTAGTGGTTCCCTTATAGAATTACGCAGGGAGGAGGATAACTAGAATTAGTTTGTCTCTGGATTCACCTCCTCTTCATCTCTCTGCTTTCTGCTGTATCAGTTCCCAGTGGGCACCAGCCACCACTGTCACTGCCTGTGGCCACCCTTCTATCTACTTGTCAACTCTATCAACAAGAATAGAAAGGGAAATTATTTTATTTTTTTATGACTAGCTCTGCATCCACCTGAGTCTTCCAGGCTTCTTCTACTCGCCCAGGCTCCTCTTGTAGCATCACCCAGGTGGCAGGATGTTTGCAGGCAATCCTAGTTCTCTTCATCATGGCCTGGCCTCTTTAGCTACTCTCTGTCTCTCTGTCTCTTTGCAAGAGAGCTGAAAATTCTCTTGAATTTCACCTGCATACTCCCTGCCACTCCACCCCCTCTCTCTTTATAAACAGTCAGTCTGACAGGTACAAAACCTAAGTGTAGCTCAGGCGCCTGCAACTGGCTTTGAAACCAGGCTTAGCTTAAGCCTCGGAGGGGCTCTAATAATATACACAGGGTCTCTGGGGAGCCTGGTGCAGCTGTTGCCATGCTCTCAAATTAATGGCTCCTTCCTTTCCTCCACAAACGATGAAGGCGAGGCTTCTGTTACAGAGAAGGATAATCCATTGCTGATGAAGGAGGCCAGCAGGAGACCCAGACAAGCACATTGTAAATCTTTGGAGCCTGAAATTTGGTGCACTGCCTCTGCTTTCTAGTGAGGGTACATTGCCCACATAGAATAACATGAAAATGAGAGGATGAATGAGATTTTTTGTTGCGTTGTGCAATATAACACTGGGCTTTTTGATTCAAAAGATTTCTGCTTTTAACTTCTATTATTTTGTAATATTTGTTATTATCTTTATCTATCTATTGATCTATCATCTATCTATCTATCATCTATCTATCTATCTATCTATCTATCCTATCTATCTATCTATAGCTATCTCATGTACATCCCTATTATCAATTATATGCTAGTGGTGATTGCCCATTCCCTGGGAATTTTGATAACCCCCATACATATGGTGATTTTTAAATGGATAGTGTAATTGGTGAGTTTGGACCTAGCATGCCAAAAATTGGGTGATGTCACACCAAAGTCATGCTTTGGTCCACTGTCTTTGTTCAAATTGGTGCCTGGTATTCAAACTCCAATGAAATCTCCCACCCCTAAACTCAGGAATCCCTGGGTCAATGATATCTTAAGAGGCATCCATACCTATGCCCCCAAACAGATGTAATCACACCCAAGTCACATTTTGGTCTGCTGTTTTGATTCAGAATGGCTCCTAGCATCCATGTGTTGACAAAGACTGTCACCCCCCACCTCAGGAACGTTCATGCCTAGCTTGGTGACAATATATGCTGAAAAATGTGTGTAGTCATGGCAAAGCCACATTTTGGTCTGCTATCTGATTCAAAATGGTGCCTGACACCTAAACAGCAATGTAGACGTCCACCTCAGGAACCCTCGTGCTGAGTTTGGTGATGATATCTGAAGAGACGGTAGAACCTATGTCAAAACACACTCCAAAGTGATGTTTCAGTCCACCATCTTGATTACAAATGGTGGCCAAGGACCAAATGCTGAGGAAGAGCACTATCCCCACCTTAGGAACCCTTCTGCCAAGTTTGGCAACAATATATCTAGAGGCATCTGAATCTGTAGAGAACAAATGGACAAAACACTTTCCAAATACAGTGGTACCTCGGGTTACATATGCTTCAGGTTACATACGCTTCAGGTTACAGACTCTGCTAACCCAGAAATAGTACCTCAGGTTAAGAACTTTGCTTCAGGATGAGAACAGAAATCGCGCAGCGGCGGTGTGGCAGCAGTGGGAGGCCCCATTAGCTAAAGTGGTGCTTCAGCTTAAGAACAGTTTCAGGTTAAGAATGGACCTCCAGAACGAATTAAATATGTAACCAGAGGTACCACTGTATATAGTAGATTGCTAGAGGTGTGCAAATCCCTGAAACCTGGTAAATGTTGTTGGCTGACATTTCTTGCCATTGTGTAACCTAGGGTCCCACAACATCATTCCCTCTGGAGGTTTTAGACTACAACTCTCAGCCAGCATTGAAAGCAAATAAACTGATCCAGGATGGATTATTTATTGCCTCTTTCACCATCACCGTATTCAGGTGGGGCGCTTGTCAAAACATGCTGACTTTATTTCACCCAAATCAAGGTGTTTCCTTGCCTCACCCAAACAGGCTTTTTAAAAAGATGCAAATATTACATTAAATCTAGGAAGCGTTTTCTTCTTTATTTATTAGTTATCGCAACTTGTATGTATGTATTACATTTATATGCCACCTATCCTTCTGAGGAGCTCATAGTGGTGCACATGGTTCTTCCCTCCCCATTTTATAAACACAATGACCCTGTGAGGGGCTGATCTAATAGTCTGAGCCACCATTTTCTCCCTCCACTGCCACCACCGCCCCTCTTTCTGCCTAGCTAGCCAGGCTTATTTGTGGGGGGCAAACCTAGCGGAGGAGAATGGAAGGGCTCACAGCACCAGGACAGAGATTCAAGAATCCCCATCATGACTGGTTGGCTGCGTGTCCAGCTTTACAGAGGACAGCCCCCTGTTTGAAGGCCTCTTCTATTTCAATAATCCCAGAACCTTTTCCACACCAGGGACTCGCCTTGAGTCCAACATGCATAAAAATTTTAATTTTACGCCATCTCTTTGTACAGTGCTAGTGTTGCTGTTGCTGCAGCCCACCTTAAGTAAGGCTACAGCCCACTAGTGGATCCTACTAACCCACCAGATGACAACCAACATACCCTCTGGAGCCTGTCCCTCTGGCCCAAGTCTGTGCTAAAGGTAAATAGCCATTAAAAGGGAGAACAGGTCCTTGAAGTTGCTCAACAACCATTAGTACCTGGATAGGAGACTAGTCACTATCTTCCCAGCTATGGTGCAATGTATTACAGTAATTATTTCTAAATTACAGGTAAAATTATCATCTGTATTTTTTTTTAATGAGGATTGGTGTCTTCTTTTTGTCTCTTCATCTTTTCATGATTCATTGCCTCTTTCTCTTTTTTGGAGGGGCTGATGTGTAAGAGGATACTCTATACTGTATATCATAGGTATTTATTAATTACTTTCATATCCCACCTTTTTCTCCAAAGGGCTGAAGGTGGCACACATGAATCTCCTTATACCTGTTTTATCTTCACAACAACCCCGTGAGGTCGGTTAGGCTGAGAGATTGTGACTGGCCCAGTGAGCTTTGTAGCCAAGTGGGGATTTGAACCCCAGTCTCCCAGGTCCTAGTCCGGCACTTTCACCATTGCACCACATCAGCTTCTATTATATGCCCATGACACTATTTTATTTATTTAGGTTTCTGCCATTCTTTGAACAGAGAACTCAAGAGGGCATAAAACAATCTTCTGTCCAGATACTGACCAGACCCAAACCTGCTTAGTTTCCTCACTGTGTTCCTTTAGGCAGGGTTTGGGGTGGACCTATGGTTCTCCACAAGTGGTTAGACTATACTCATCATCCCTGACCAGTAGCTATGCTGGATGGAGGTGATGGGAGCTAGAGTTCAACCATATCTGTAGGGCCACAGCTTCCCCATTCCTGTTGAGGACCATACTCTGGGAATAAGTCAATCTCCCATCCCACACCTTGGCAAATATCTTTCAAGACTTACTCTAGATGGGGTTAGAAACCACTGCTTGCAAGCAATTATAAGCTAGACAGGTGAGTGCTGTTAAAAGGCGATCATTGCCCAATGGAAGTACTTGCTGGGCCCATGGTATTGGGCTGGGCCAGTCACTTCGGCACCGTCCTCCTGGGAGGAGAGCAGGGTCTGGAAACTTGGCTTCATAAATGTGCAGGTATACAAATTTTGTGTACAAGAAGATAGTGTATCTTGCCCGGAGCCCTTGGAGTTGAGTGATCCTGGGTGTGCCTGTGAGGAACTTCCTGCCCTGCCAAACCGTGGGAAGCACAGTGAAGAAAGCAAGTGGGAACAGTCTGGTGCAGCTTGCTGGAAAGAAACAGCATCTCACCCACATTACACACTATGGTCTGGTCTCCTCATATGCAACAGAATGGACTGCACAAGCAAAAACTCTAGCTATCTTTGAGCAGAGGCCTTCCTCCTCCTCCTCCTCCTCCTCCTCCTCTGCTACCAGAAAGATGAGGAACCTGTGGCCTTCCAGATATTTCTGGACTACAATTCCCATAATCCTTGACCATTGGCCATGCTGGCTGTAAAGTGTTAAGTATGTTGGTGATGTTAAACAAACAAACAATGTTGTTTTTTCTTTTTCTAAAAAACCCACTGTGATCTTTGTCTCTTAATTTGCTTCCAAAATGTTTTTGTTTTGTTTTTGTTTTTAAAACAAAACAGTGCTTTTTACTGGTGATGTAGGTTGCTGTTGCTGGAAAATTCACAGAGAAGGGCATCTGGCTTGCATCATGGAGGTCACTATCAGGCAATTCTGCATAGGTTGAAAGCTTGTAGTCTGTTTTACCCAAAGCAGTTGGTCCCTTGAAAGTGAGGTGTTTTTTTAAAAAAAGCTCTTCTTCCTTCTGAAACCAAATTGCCTGGAAGGAAACAACTGTGTCTCTTAAGTTACTTAAATGTTCAGACCAGGGGGGTGGTAACGTTTTTTGAGGCCGGTCCGGTCCACTCCCCGGCAGACCTCTTGTGGGCTGGAGTGTGTGCTCAAGCTGTTTCTGGCGCTCTTCTGACCCGGAAGTCGGTCCCCGCGGCGAGAAAAAAAAATGGCTCCACGAAGGGGGGGGGGCACGGAATCCTTACGCCAATCCATGGAACGGCCATGGGCCAGTTCCAGTAAGCTTATGGGCTGGAAATGACCCATGGGCCTTGGGTTACCGACCTCTGGTTCAGACCCTTCTTTTCCTTTTGGAGTTATGGCTTTAAGGAAGTTTCTCTTGGTTCACAGAAGGAGGGAGAGAAAAGGCCTTTTGTAAAGCTTATGGTTGGAAGCAGGAACCAGTCTTCCCTGGCAGGTGTTAAGCCTGTGATGTAGCTGACTTGTTCATACCTTTGATGAGCCACCATCCCTGCCCCAAGGTGAAAATTGCTGCAGCCCTGCCTGTGAATATGGAAACTGTGATAGGTTGGTTTCAGTTGCACTCCTAAAACAGAGAGGGGGTGAGTTGGGATGTTTTTCTCACCTGACAGGAATAGGAGATGCTAACAGATTAACTTGAGCATATTTTATAAAGAGCAAAGATAGCCTTATTGATCCGTAAGAAAAATCCCCGTTAGGGATTGGGCCAATAAAATTTTTACAAAACAGGGTGCAAGCTTTCATGTTCTCCAGAACTCTTCATCAAGCTAAATGATAAATAAGGCAGGGTGGGGATATCCTGAAAGCTTGCACATAACTGTGTAACATTTTGGTTAGCCTAATACCTAAAATGGATTTTGCAATTTATGCTGGAAAACGCATGTTATACCACTTTTGGGCCAGGGTCCCCAAAGTGATTTACATCAAAGAACTAACCCAAACACCATCGCAACTGAAATATACTCAGAGTCGCAAAGTGATTTCATGCTCTTTATTCAGCTCATAGTGGTGAGGAGGAATGAATGAAACTCCCCTCAAAGTATCTGCTTTATATACATTATTTACACAATGGGCTGCACATGATTGGCTAATTCTGGAATTCTACTGTAAGCCAATCAGGTTGTGGATTCACTTATATCTGGAGCATGATTGGGTGGTTCCTGCCAACCAATCATACTGCTGCATTGTTCTAGGACCAATCAGACTGCTGCATTCTGAATCCTATTGTTCTAGGACCAATCAGACTGCTGCAATTTGGATCCTATTGTTCTAGGACCAATCAGACTGCTGCAGTTTGGATCCTATTCAACTCAGTACATAACAGCAACACAGAATAACCATTTCTTCACTGATATCCTAACTGCTATGAGGGACAGTGGGGAGCGGGCAAGGAGCAAATTCCACAAGTGGGTGCCATCACTCAGAAGAATTTTGGGTGCACACCAATAGGCATTTGTGATAACCAATTTTTTTTCGCCACCTGCAGGAAGCAGGCCTTACTGCATCGCTATAATTTCTGGCCACCACTTATTGTAGAGTCAGAGCAAACTACACATGGTCATAAATGTATAGTTCTGCACTTGAGAGCAGGGTACTATCCCTACCACAGATTTCCAGGGCGAAGCCCCCAGCCTGCATCACTGTGATAGTGGGCTTCAAACCTTTGTCGACTAGATGACCCTTAGTCCCTTCCAACTCTACAGTTCTATGATTCTGCCTGCGGTTTCGATCCAGACTGCCCCCTCCCCACCTTCAATTTGCTTTGTAGCAAAAGAGCCCATTGAAACAAATTGGGACCTTTTGCATTTGCTTAAAATGCAGATTTCTAGTGCTGCAGGGGCTGAATCCAACCACAGTTTGTGGGGAAGCACAAAAGTTTCTGTTGGTGTCAGAGGAGGCTTGAAATACAAACTAGGAGATGTGACTTTTGTCAGGCCCACGAATGGCAACCCTCATGGACTGGAGGCTGCTTAGGCTATTTGCAAGCTAAAGAGAAAATTTAATATCATATCTAGTTTGGCCCTGAGCAACACTGAACACCAGTGGAATCATAGAATTGTAGAGTTAGAAGGGACCCCAAGCATCAACCCCCCCCCCCCCCGCAATGCAGGAATATCATAGAGCATCCGTGACAGATAACCAAATACAGTGGTACCTTGGGTTAAGTACTTAATTCATTCCGGAGGTCCGTTCTTAACCTGAAACTGTTCTTAACCTGAAGCACCACTTTAGCTAATGGGGCCTCCTGCTGCTGCTGCTGCCGCACCACCAGAGCACGATTTCTGTTCTCATCCTGAAGCAAAGTTCTTAACCTGAAGCACTACAGTGGTACCTCAGGTTAAGTACTTAATTCGTTCCGGAGGTCCGTTCTTAACCTGAAACTGTTCTTAACCTGAAGCAGCACTTTAGCTAATGGGGCCTCCTGCTGCTGCTGCGCAGCCGGAGCACAATTTCTGTTCTCATCCTGAAGCAAAGTTCTTAACCTGAAGCACTATTTCTTGCTTAGCGGAGTCTGTAACCTGAAGTGTATGTAACCTGAGGTACCACTGTAGTCTTTTCTTTAAAACCAACACGGAAAGAGAGCCCAAGTGAGAATCTGTGCTTTGCATGCAAATAGGCCCAGGTGTGATCTCCAGAATTTCTAAGTAGGGCTGGGAGTGTCCCCTGCCTGAAACCCTGAAGAGCCACTGCTGGCCAGTGTAGGCAATATTGAGCTAGCTAGATGGACCAAATGACTTAACTCAGTATAAGGCAGCTTCCTATGAGCCTGGGTTCTATATTTTGAGAAGGGAAAAGAAATGTCTATCTACTTTCTCTTCACCGTGCATAATTGTACACACCTTTATCATGTCTGCCCCTGATAACCCACCCTTCTTTCTAAACTGAAATGACTTACCTGAAGAGAAGCCTCCTTTGCCCATCTACTTTACAAATCTATGAAGCATTGCTACCTATAGGGATTTAGCTACACAGGCTACAGTTTTAATGATGGCGTTAGAAACTTTGCCCTATTCAGGGGAGCAGGAGGGCTTGTTGAGCGCCGCCTCTTGCATTAATGAATAGCAAATGGAGGACTCGTTAGGCATGCGATGACCTGGAAAATGGGACGGGTCACTCTTTATGGCTCCTTGTGTCAATAACCCCATGGATAATAGGCCACAGCAGAGGTGGTTGGAATCCAATCCACATTGTATCCAGGCTTGAACAAGGTGACGATCAGGATCAATGCATTCTCACCCATGCGCAGAGCACCTTGCTCCAAAGTCAGACGAGCGCCATTGTTGTCAGGAGGAAGGGAGGTGATTCTTAAAAACGACACCCAGGAAGCATTGCTCTGTCAGGCCAATGGATGAGCATGCATAACCCTGAGCTGGCACCCATTTTGTGGGAAAGCGGGAAAGGCACTCAGTGGGTGAATCTATGCTGGGAAGACGAGGAGTGTGCCTCTGGCATGAGCCAAATGGCAAGCACTAAAGGGCTGTCAACCTGAGGCTCTCAGCCGGTGCAATTTCTGCTGGCCCAAACACTTAAGCATATCATATGAAGAACAGAAGGGAAGAACTATCTGTTCGGGACTCTTGGCATTGAACACTACTGAATGCAGTTTCATGAGAATCTTAGATATCATATTTAAAAAGTTTCTTGCACTTATAGCTCAGAGGATATGCAGTGGTGCAGGTAGGCAATTTTAGACTCTGGACTTTATGGCCTTACAAGCTGCTCTTTAGAAATGCAAATCACTTCACTTCCTT